GGGGGGAGGAGATCCAAAAAGAAACTCTTAGAACACTAGTTTTCTGAACGACCAATTTCATTGAAATCAGATCGCAAAAATCATATAGAAACGTTTTCTGAACGACCAATTTCATATTTCCAATCACCTACACTACTAAGAAATTGTAGCCATAAACTTGTTATCAGGGTATAGTTGAAAATATAAAGATAATTCGAAATACAAAATTTCTTGTGGAAAGTCAAACCAAAAATGGCAGAAATCAACCAACCTTATGAGACCAACAAGAGGAAGTTTAGCCACAGATCTCTTCAGCAACAAAAATAAAGCACAATCAACAAAAAAAAAAAAAAAAGTAACAAGAGTCAGTCTAGTTGTGTAAAGAACGAATAATATTGATAGCTTTGTACTAACAGAAGTTCATTTGGAGAATTAACTAACCTTAGCAACAAAGCTTGGGAAAGAGGTAGCCATGTGATACAGAATATCTATATAGGAAACATGATTTGATATGATAGCCCCAGGTCTTTCCAGTTCTTTAGATTGATTCTCAGCTGCACTCTGAAAAATTTTGTGAAGCGCATAAAATTGATACGGCACATTATGGACATAAATGACCTAACACACTTATTCCTTGAATTTAAGAACCAAATCTTGATCAAGTGTCACAACAGAGATCAACGTAGGCAAACCAAAAATATTGAACAAGAAGAATACTATAGGCATCTTACGTGAAATGAAAATTTAATAAATACCTCATATTTACAAATATCTAAAGTGGTACTGGGACATGATCTGCCATGTCAAGTGATACGCTATTTGACTATAAACAAACAAAGTTGCGAGCTTTAATTTGATATTTTAGTTATATTTATACTACCTTTCAATAACTTTTATTAATTTAAGGAACCAAACAGGGACTCCTAAAAAATCCAAAATGCAAGCATTGGCTATATAACCATGTGGATAACAATAAGTCCCATGTAATTCAAGGCCATAAAGGGCATAATTCCATTTCTCAATTGTTGCATAAATGGCAATAAATCATGTAATCAGATATTCAATTGCATCAAAATTGATTGCTAGCCACCTCAGAGAACAAGTTGGCATGATCAGACACTACGTTCATATAAAACCAATACCTAAAGGAGCAAATTTTACCCACTCTGACTATGTGACAGTTGAAAAATCATTTCCCTATTCAGCATCATACTTAATGAAATGCCCTCATTCATATGCTACATCTATCACATTCAAAACCATAACTTTGTCTATACTATTCAGGATTTTTTGGACCACACAAAGCTCAAGTATCCAAAATCATGCCGTGTAAAGTATATTTCCATGCCACACAAAGCTCAAGTATCCAAAATCACGACGAGCAATGTAACCACCGAACACCCGTCAAACGATTATGCCACTCAAAACCCACTTCTAAAAATGCATTACATCATAATGTAAACAAAAACAACCCCATCAAATCACAGAAAGAGGGAATAAAGAGAAAAGAAAACCAGTACCTCATCATTATCCAGCTGCCCGTCTTCCCCATTGCTCCTACTGGTTTCAGCGATCCAGTAGAACCCGAAAACAAACAGCAAAGCCCTCGACAAAAATCTACCACTCTGCATAATCACGGCCCTCCGCCAGCCGCCCATGTGCGCGTAATCCTCCTGCTCATCCTCCCTGTTAGGCGCCATAAACGCCGTACAAACCCTACAGATCGCGTAATAGAGCACCAGTATAGCAGCCCCCGCCACGACCCTAATCGGCACCAAGAACACCAAACCCATGCCGAGAAAGAAGTTCTCCGACCACGTCAATTCGCCGCGCCCCATGATGCCATACGCGTCGTGCCGGACATATGGGGCGTACTTCTTCTCCAATTCCTCGAAGCTCAGCGTGATCTGCGTCGGGGTGTCGGGGGTTTTCGGCTCCCGATTGAGGAGGGGGCTGTCGTCGGGCTCGGGCTGCCGGGCAGCCGACTGTGGGGTCAGGACTTTAAGCTCCGAGTCCATCTTTTTTTTTTCCTTAATTTATGTTTTTGTCTCGCAATTATTGTACTGGAGAATGCGATGAATTCCTTAGTCGCCTCCTCATGTGGGTATTTTTTTTTTATTTTTTTTTTTCAGTGGGCAGCCATTGTTGGGTGTTTTGTTCTCTGGGGGAAGAAGGAATCGGAGTTGTGATTGGATTTGGGGGAGATCTGGTTGGGCGGTGACTTTGACGCGCGGGAGACCTGGTGCATGGGGGCGCGTGGCGGTCGCTATGTGTAAGAAGAGGAAATGGTTTGTCGAATGTGTGTGCTGGCGCAGAGTAAGATGTGGTGTGGTCTCGAGTTTAACTATGGTTAGGTTTGCATATAGGTGGGACCATATTCTGATTCGTAGCAATGTTCCGGATTGGACCGGCCAGTTCCACCGATTTAACATGGAATTACTTATTATATAATCCCCGAATATACTGAGCAATGTGACAAGCTCATGTTTGGTCTTGACTATTTAGAGCACCCACAATGTTTTGAGTTTCTTGAAAAAAAATTACATGCCATGTAGGAAATAGACCTAGTCTATAAAAAAGTGTTTCCCAATGCAATTAAAAATGGACCTAGTCTAGCTTATGTGACAATAAAAAAAAGAGATCTAGTCCACACTTGGGTCTATTTTAGACCCAAGTACAAACTCAAGCACTCATCAATTATTCATTATTTAATTTTTCTTTTAATAAATGAAATATATTAAAGCATTTTTATTGGTTGTCGTGTATGCTAAACCTAGTATTTTATTTTTGCATTGAATAGCTTTTGAGTTTTTTTTTACTTGGGTTTGCCCATGTCATTTAAGACTTAAGTCTATTTATATGCCACATATGTAAAATTAGACCCAAAGCATTGTGGATGCTCGCGTGAGAATTACCCTAAACTAGTTTAACTCTTATTTTTTCTTAAGTTACCTTATATTACCTTTATCTTTTCTTATTTAATTCATATATTATATATCATAAGTTAGTATTCTTTTTGATTTTTATGTTATATCAAAATAATCATATATTAACGATGTTCAATTTAACATCAATATTGCATAAATAAAATAAAAAAATGATTTCATCTATCTTCAAAAATAAAACTAATTTTACTATCAAATCAATTTAAAAATAGAAATTATTTTATAAAAATAAAAATCTAATTCATCAATACACCATGAAATAATTAGTTCAATGTGTTAGTTCCATAGATTTTGGATAAAATATGAAAATTAAGCATTGCATAAAATAAATTATAAGAAATATTATAAAATGTTATTTCTTGATTTAAATAGATTATATAAGTTAAGATATTGAATGTTATTATGTTGTTTAAAAATAAAATAAAGAAATATCATAGTTAAATATAAACTAATTTTACGTTTCATAAATTTAGAAAATAATTCATTTTTCACATAAATTAATATTCTAAATTATTATGTTATATGATTTTAAATTACTTGAAAAATTGATGAGAGACACCTAGTCTATAAATACAAAATATAATCACAATACAATAAACTTTTTGTTTTTAAAAAAATCGAACAAAATATATAAGTCGTAAATAATATACGCTTTAGACATATATAATTTAAATAACATAAAAAATATCATTTTTGAAAAATGTAGCGTAAAATTACAAACATCATTTTGAATTATTTATCACTTTGTTAGTTATTTGTTATTGTTGTATATATATTTAAATACTCGTGTAGTTCACGGAGATAGTACTAAATCAATTAAAATCAAAACAACTTATCTATAATCACCCCCCAAAATATACAACCAATTACCTATTTGCAATAAATCGATTAATTAATTAACTCAATAATATTATACGTGGTTTAGGACGGTTTGTCAGAACCGGAAAACATACGAGCGTGTCACATAGGCTCATCGTATTCGGCGATTATATATAAGGGCATTTTGTTGGATAACCAAATTTAATTTTGAAAAAATTGATTGAGTTAGATTTGAACGGAATATTTTTGTATTAAAAGAATATTTAAAATATAATGATTAAAGTTGATTTGATTTAAAAATGATGAGATGCGTTATTGAAAGTAATGTATGATTAAAGTTATGTGTGTTTTCATTCTGATTTTTTGCACTCTGAACACTTTAGCTTCCATCTTCAATATATACACATTCTATTTCTCTCCTTTTGGGCATGATTTTACGATTTTTCCAATTTATCATCCAAAGACGAATCTGCTTCTTCGCGGAATTTCCCCTAGGTGCTGCTTCAACGACATGGTCTCGCGTTCGTCACACCGCCGCTCTAAAATCCTTGTTCAGGTACGACAAGTGAAGGGCCGACTGAAGGAAGGGGTGGCGGATCCAAGGACAGAGGGGGTTTGAGGTATGAAGGGTCGGGCACCGAAAGGCCAGAGGGGAAGGGTAAAGTTTGGCAGAGAGAGAGAGAGCTGAAGGAGAAAATTGTCTGCAGGAGAATAAATAACATAGGGACAATGGACATTCACTTACTTTTTACTGTATAGATGAACATAATCACACCCTCAGCATCGAGATAAAGTTATTGTTCATACTCAAGATTAATGGGATTTTCATCCCGGCCGAGTCTAATCTTGAGGGCCGAAGTCATGCTTAACAAACATAAGATTACCCCAGATTAAACTCATAATCTTAATCCGACAAGTCTCATTTACCTTGGGATACGACATGATTAGCTAGTATATCAATGTTATCCATTGCTTATTAGTTTCTTGATTGCGGCCCGGATATTTATCCGCAACACCAGTTGGCCAAGTAAAAGTAGCAATCATCACCAGTAAACATGAGATAAATCATAAATCAATCTCAACAATACAGTAGAGTAAAAGTAATCTTCGAAAGTAAAAAGAAACAGTAATGTTGAAATGTGAAACCCATAAAATTGTACAAGCTTGCTACGTTGAAAATAAATATTATTGCTCTTAATTAAGTATTTATTATTTCAATTAATTTTTCTTGAGCTTGGTAGATTTTTCCCCTAAGAATAACTTGTTCTGCTCATGGTATTCTTCTTATTTATCACTAAACGATCTATTTAAATGCTGCTCCTTTTCTTCTTACAATTGGAGTCTCAACTCTCATGCCCAACTGTCTCCTCATCCATTTTTTCTATTTCGTTCGTTTGGAGGCCTTTCAATGTTGATTTCAATGCTTTTCCCACATGAATTCTGAAATCCAGAATAGTTTCACTCTGTTGAACGATGCCCCAACATTCAACAAACCAAAATTTCCATAACTAAAAACAAATTCTTGTGCATCAGTGTAACAATGCAAGACAGCCAAATCTTCGGGTTGGTCGACCAACATACTATATTTTAACAGAAGTACATCATACTTTCATTTATTGTGTTGATTAGACTGAAATTACAGTTTGAAAGAATGCATATGACAGTTTACATTTGTTCTGCAAGCTCTATTAAGGAATGTCATGAGGCAACCGGAGTCGTGCAAAACTAAAAAATAATCACAAACGGACTTTGATCGAGTCAAGTTGCAAAATCAGAACCCAAGTCCCTGATAATGATAGTACCATAATTTTAAGTAAAACCCATAAACACCAATTCTCGATTAGAAACGGAATTTCGTATCACTATACAACTTCCTGAATTCGTCTTATCGGATTTAACAAATAGACAGGAATGAGATGCAAGATACTCATTAAGCAGTCTTTTTCTTTTTCTTCTTAATAACTCATTTTTCAGCTTCTATTAGCTACACCCAATACTTTCACTGTCAACTACTTTTGGCTTATGCCACAGCTCACTCTCAAACAACAGATAGTTCTCCTTCTCATAATATGACATAAAGCAACAATCTTTATTGGTAATCATCATTAGTCAAGTAAAACCCTGCAGATAGCAAGTTTTCAGTATCTATATCCATTTCAAATGACCAAAACAACACTTATATCATTTATTTTTCTCTAATCTGAATCATTCCTCAGACCAGATGCACAACAGAATTTGATAAATCATCACCATACCTCAAGAGGAAAACAAAGCCCGAATCAGCACGAAACCCAATTCTTATGAGTACTGATCAATGCCGACAGCAGCCCGGCAGACGACACCACTATCGGAGCCGACAGCCGCCCTCCGCCGTCCCTAATGTCCGCCAGAGCCATTAGCCCGTC